TTCAATGCTCACGGTCTTAGATAATCAGGAATGCATTAATCATGTCTTTCTCCACATTATTTGCATTTTTTGATAATTATAGACTAATGAGCATGCCCTTTATGTGATATTTTAGTTCACTTATACCTCTATAAATATTTCAACTTTGTGATAATCAAGTGAATTGAATATTATTAATTAGAAATGTAGTCAGTGGGTACAGCTAAAAATTATTTAAAAGTAGCATTTTTAATGATAAAATATTCTTTAGTAAAATTCTTTATGAAGATATTTTTCAAAATCAATCTATGTAAATAAAACTAAGTGGTTTTCTGACTACAAGGAAGCTAAAGTTTTATTATTACACACATGGGGCATATTTGCTATACTTCTGATTCTGTTGCTTTTTATAGAAATGCACAGAGAAAAATGGTCTTTAGTAGAATCATTCAGAAAGAAAAATTCTTTCATTTGTAAATTAATTTTTTCAAATCTATAATTTCATATCATGCAAATCTTAAAGACATCTTTGAATTTTTTAAATTGTAATTATGCCAAAGAAAGTTATCTAAGTGAAACATTTTTTCATGAAAATTTAATCAGACTTTCATAAAGATTATGTTCTTCTATTATAAATTATTTTCTTAGTGCCTAGCAATATGAATCATCAACTTTTGAACAGAAAATATGTGATTCTCCCGTTTAATTAACTATCAGCTCTTGTACTTTTATTGTTTATGCAAGTATTATTCAGACATTCATGTTTTCTTCATAAAAAAAAATCACTGCTAAAATAAACCACGATTGAAATGTAAATCAGTGTGGCATAACATGTGTTTGAAGAGAGTTATATTTTCAAATGGTAAAATCCAATATTAGCTATAATTAATATTGACTTCTGGCTTTGTCTCTTCATATACCACTTCCAATTGCTCTTAAACTTTTCTTAAATTATGAGTCAAAATTTTCATATACCAAGTCCAGTGCCCTGAATATTAAGTTAACAGAAGTTACAATAAAGAATATTAAATTTGAAGTCTCAAAGTTTCATATAACTCATTCAGCTTTCATTAGAGCACTCATACTGCCTATTTACTTCTACTTTTGATTAGATTTAAAATTCATTGTGGTTTTTCATCACAAAATCATTTATTCAATTATTGAAACATTGAGTCATGAAAAATAATGAAACCTTTGAGTTTGTTCCTCCAAAAAAGCTGCTATGCTGCTACAAAACATGTTCAAAATTCTTAATAATTTTTAATAATTTGTTGCAGAGCAAGTTAAGAATTTTGCCTGTCCATTAAAGAGTTATTTGACAAGGAAAAATAAAATACAGAGATGTGAGTAATCTAATTAGTCACTGGGTGCATTCAGTGCTTCTTGCTATCAGCTGAAGCTGAATTAAATTAGTCACTGATGCATTTGTCGATTGGAGTCAGAAAGTCTACCTATTTAATTTTAAAATAATTTGCTCTGAGTAAATTATGGAAGTAGCCACTAAAGAAATCATATTACTTCAGAATTAGCAAGATCTATTTCTTTTGGAGTAGGAGGATAATTATTGCCTCTTAAAAGATGGAGTAGGTTTATAATTTGTTTAATCATGTCAAATGTGCAACTATAAAATATTATCTTAAGAATGAATGAAAAATACTCAGGCTTCAAATTCTACAAAGAGCAGTGTTTACAAAGAAAATCAAGCCAAACCAAACCAAAACTAAATTAAAAAATAAACGAAAAACTCATGTGCCATAGTAATTTTGATTGTTTTATTTTAATTCTATTCACCTTTTATTA